CTCTTTTGCAACACACTTTCTGATGACATTGTCAGCACACTCACGAGACAAATATGGCTCATCCCAAAAATATTTTCTGACATCAAACAAAAACCTTTTTAGGTAGTGATAGTTTAACTCATCCGGCATTAGTCCAGACACAATATAATTAGCAAAGTCAGTGTACCATGGCAAGTTTGAGAGGCATAAAGCAAATACTTGCTCATCCCGAACAAGTTATGTATCTCTGTTATTTGCCCGATGGTCCCTTGGTTTTCTAATTTTGAGAGATGATCTGCCATCTGATTTTCGCATCCTTTTCGTTCTTGAACTTCAAAGTCAAATTCTTGCAGTACCAATAGCCATCTTATTAAGATCGGCTTTGCATTATTCTTTCTCATGAGGTAATGAAGTGTTTCATGGTCTATATACACAATCACTTTGGTACCTAATAAATATGCCCAAAACTTTTCAAGCGTGTAGACTACTGCTAGCAACTCTTCCTCAGTGATGGTATAATTTTGTTGTGTGTTGTTCAGGGTTTTGCTTGCATAGTAATTTAGGTGGAAGAATTTGTTGTTCTTCTTCCACAAAACTACTCCTAATGCCATTCCACTCGCATCACACATTACCTCGAATGATTCGTTCCAATTAGGGCTAATGATAATCGGTGTGGATATCAATTTTTCCTTTAACACTAATGCTGCTACACAAGTTTTTTTAAAATGGAACTTCACTTTATCTTCTAACAATTTGCATAGTGGAAGTGAGATCTTTGAGAATTTTTTATGAATCTTCTGTAGAATCCAACATGTCCTAGAAAACTGCGTACACCCTTAACCGAGATTGTAGGGGTAACTTTTCGATAATTTTAATCTTTGCCTTATCTACTTTTAACCTCTTTTGTGACAATTTGTTCCCACGAACAATGCCTTCATTTACCATGACATGACATTATTACCGATTTAGGACAATATTTGTATCCACAAATCTTTGGAGCACTTTCCCTAAATGTAGCAGACAATCTTCGAATGTATCTCCCACAACTAAAAAATCATTCATAAAAACCTCCATGGAATCTTCTACCATGTTGGCGAAGATAAACATCATGCACCATTGAAAAGTTGCTAGTGCGTTGCAGAGCCCAAATGGCATCCTTTTGAATGCAAATATCCCATAAGGACAAGTCAAAGTAGTTTTCTCTTGATCCATTGGAGCGATAGAAATCAAATTCTACCTAAAGTATCCATCCAAAAAATAAACAATACCACCCTCATTCTGACAACCTATCAAGCATTTGATCCATGTAGGGCATTAGAAAATGATCTTTTTCGATAAAAGAATTTAGTTTCTAATGATCCATGTAAACCCTCAATCCTGTTACATGTCTTGTTGGAACAAGCTCTCTCTTTCCATTAGGGACCACTGTTATCCCACCTTTTTTTGGGACACATTATACTGGGTTCACCCACTTACTATTTGCGATAGGATAAATAAATTTATCATCAAGCCATTTGATAATTTCCTTTTTGACCACCTCTTGCATCAGAGGGTTTAATCTCCGCTGATGCTCCATATTGGAATTGCATTTATTGTTTAGTCAAATTTTGTGAGTGCATACACCCGGAGGAATACCTACAATACCAATTATAGTCCAGCTTATAGCTTTGATGTATTTTGTAGTAAATCTATGAGAATTTCAACCTAATATTCAAGAAAACCAGTTGCAATGATTACTGTCAGTGTATTGTAGGCTCCCAAAAAGGTGTATTTGAGATGTGATAGTAGTACTTTCAGCTCCAAAATTGGAGGTTCTTCCATTGATGGCTTAGCAGGTGGACTCTCTCGATTTTTCAAATTGATATCCAATTTGATTGTATTTTGTACATGTCCCTCAAAACTAGTTAGAGCAATAACTATTTCATCGTAATCATGGATTTCCAATCCATCATCATTAGCAAAAACTAACTCGAGAAGTTCACTTGTCGCATTAGATGACTCACACTTGTCACTACTTCATCTATAGTGTCTTCAGTAGATATCACATGGAGTCACTTGGTTTCATCATGGATCTACAAATGTTAAATGTCACCTCATCATCATTCACTCGAAACTTTACTTGCCACTTTCAACAACCACCAATGCTATTTCGATTGCTAAGAATGGTTTTCCCAATATAATGGGTATTTTGGCATCAATGTCGCAATCCAAAATTACGAAATCATTCGGAAATATGAATCGATCTACTTTTACCAAGATGTCATATAGGATTCTAACCGGATGCTTGATGGATATATCCGCCACAAGGAGTCTCATTATTGTGTATTTTGGTTCCCCCAGTACAAGTTGCTCATAGATTGTGTAAGGTGTCAGCTTGATACTTGCTCTACGGTCACACAAAATTTTGAAAATTGGAGCATTCCAATCGTGCAAGGAATGGTAAAATCCCATAGATCTTCTTTTTTTATGGTCAGTTCCTTAGGCATTATTGTGTTGCAACTATGACGTATGTCCATTATTTCATAGTCCAGAGATCTCTTCTTGGTGACTAGGTCTTTCCATGAATTTGACATACACAGGCATTTCCAACAAGCATCCACCAAGGGGAGGTTGTTAGATAGATTTTTAAACACCGATAAAAAAATTATGAACTTTTCCTCTTCATTCTTTTTTTTTAGTCGTTGGGGAAATGGTGGGGATATTTTGCGCATCGGCATTGCCAATCTTACCTTTTCATTATGTTTTCTCGTCCTTCCTTGATTAAGGTCTTGGCAAATTTGACATTTTGCTTCCTTTGATGCTTCTTCCCCAACTTGATTCTCAGAGTAGTCTTGGACTTTTTCTTCTTCGACATTTTTTCCTATTGCCACCTTCCCACTATCGGAAACCACCGCTAGCTCCTTATCATCATTTTCCATTCTTGTCTTGGATAGTAACTGTCGTGCTAAGGAATTTAGTTGACCTTCCAGCATTTCAATTGCATGTACATGTGAATTCACCTTGCTATCAAGTGAATAAAATTGTCTCTCATTCCCTTTAACAAATCATCATAGCCTTCAACTTTGTCAAGGATTCTTGTAAGCAAGTGGTTCACTCTAGGGTTGTCTGCAATTACCCTTGATTTCAGATTGTCGCTCCATTGGGTATGATATTCTTCATGCTCATTATGGTCTGCCAAATGTCGACAGGATTTCCTATGTTCTTCGCCTTTTTGGCAGTTCCAATCATGATTCCCACCCTATTGTTGATAGCAAGGGTGAAAACACTCCCCAATACTTAGTGTTCCAACCTTGATTCTCCTCTTATTCCAAATAACCGAAAGATGAATCCTCCTCAACCCAGAACACTTGTCCTCTCCCCTTCGTGTGTTCTTGCAATATTTCCATTTGAGTCAGCAATCTTTATGGTTTTATCTCTCTTTTTATTTATCGAGCTCCTCTGGTGTCATTTTGAAGCACAATGGGGAAACTTGGTGTTCTTTAGTGTACCAAACCTGGTTCACTTTGTCATGTTATTTAAAAGGAATGATGCCACTTCAAAGGACTGTAACATTATTCCATTCTGAACCAATCTATCAGTTATCCCTTTGTTAATTGAGTCAAAGCTTCGGTAAAAGAATTGGAGCACTAGATCACTTGGCAACCCATGGACTGGATCTGTTTTCCTCTGCATGTAATTTTGAATATCATCCAATAACTTTATCATTTTCGAGGGAGGAAAGAACCTTTTGTGGAAGGCTGAGATCAATTCTTCCCAAGATTTGATGGAATTCTTTTGAAGCTCGAACAACCATTTGGTTGCCTCTCCACACAGTGATAATGGGAACAAACGAAGTCTAATTGCTTCCTGTGGCAAATTTTTGAAGGACAAGGGAGTGCACAATTCCACAAAATTTGAATGTGTTCATATGAATTTTTCTGATCTAACCCTTAATATAAACCCCTAGAATGTATGAGATGGAGTGTTGTGCTAGAATTGCACCTATATCCACTAGCCACTGGGATATTTGAGTCGCAAGCTCATGACCATTCATCGTTCCTGTTCTCAACAAACAAATTTGAACTAAAACTAAAAGGTAAATTACCAGAAACTACACTGTAAAGAATTAAAACCTACAAGCAACTTCATTTTCACGTGACACCAATCCCAGTAGCGGCGGCATTTTGATCGACTTCGATAAATGTATTGTATATTTCATGATCAATGACACTAACCTACAGTTAGAGTGTCAATGAATCGAAGCTAGTAAATTAACCCAACCAAGGGTTGGGGTCATGTGCCAAGGGAGTGGTAGTGAAAGTAGTAGCTACTTAGAATTTTGTTCTAAAAACTGATAGTTCAAGACATTTTCCAGTATTAAAACAAAACAATTTTAATTTGTGACACTGAAGTGTCAAATATCAAGAGGGATTTTGTCACAAGTAGTAAAATATACAAAAAAAGATAAAGGAGAAAACAAGTATGGGAGAGAGCTCTTAGGGTGTGATCGCAATATATGTTGACACAAACTAATGGGTACATATTTTCGATAAGAAAATTTGCAAGACAATGGTGAGTAGGCTAAGGTTTAGTTGAAAGTAAATTCCCTCTCGGGCAACTTACCCCATATCAAATAGGTTCTTCTCGAACACCCACTCATCTAAACTAACCAGCCAATGTATTACCCACACCTTGACCTTTTGATAGAGGGTGCTTGGATATGGGACTACGGCTCACCCTCTCGGGATAAACCTCATGTCGACCCACTTCTTAGGACATCAATCTAATGGTCTTAGTTTTGCGACCTCCCTGTCGAGCAAGTTGAAAACACATGGGTGGTTTTGTATTTGCAACTACAAACCTATTAAATAAAACCATAACAACTAGGTGAAATCACCATTAAAATACATCTTATCCTATCAGCAAGAAAGACCCATCAAAATATCAACACATATTTGCTAAATCACACCCCAAGAATAGGGGGTTTTAGCCACATATCAAGAAATAACCAATTGTACTTAAAATGATAAAGGAATCAAATAGGTATAAGATATTAAACCTTAAAAATGGCAAAGGAAGGTAAATGGAAAAGACCCACTTCCAAGTTTGGAAGAACTTCTTTCTTCAAGCTTCCTGAAAACCCTCTCCAAACTTGAGAGAAAACTTAAAAACTAGAGTTCTAAAAAGTGAAAAATTATAATAATGTTCAACTCCCTAAAAATAATAAAGAGATTAGTATTTATAGGCTTCAGATCTAGTGTTGGAAGATCCATTCAGTGCGTTAATCTTGATTCTTTGAGTAATTCAGCGATTCACGCTTTCTCTGATTCGTCGTTTTTTGTGCCTTGCCTTTTTTCCATGCATGATATAACATTGGGCGGAACAACTATACTTTGTGGAACTATTCGGCAAAAGGCCGACTTCTTCTGTTCATCGCCTTTTGATCCACTTCCTTCAGGGCTTGCTTGTTTTAACAGAATGCCGAACTTCGCTACTCGACGAACCGCCAAGTGTGCTCGGCAATGTGTGTGTTTGCATCTTCAGCTTGTTTTTCTCCGTTTTGGTTCCGTTTGGTGCCTAAGTGACCATACTTATACAAAATCCTCAAATACCTGAAACTTAGGAGTTTTTATTAGATATTGAGATAAAATGCACAATCAAGGACACTATTTGCATTAAAATAAGGCCATAGATGAGTCCAAGTTGAGGACTCGTCATAAAACCCCCCAAAAAAAGACTTACCTGGGATTTTTCCTCGTTTGTATTCATGAAGTGGTTTCAACCTATGGAAGAATAGGTTAGGAAAGTTCACATCAGTAAAGTATAGTAAATAATATAGAACCACTTCTACCTTCACACAAAAATTATAAAAATAGAGAGACAATGAATGTTTCGGTAAGCTTCTTTCTTCACTTAGCAAAGTTTACATTATTTTTTTTCTTGGTTATGTTTTGTAGGGAATAACAATGCTCATTACATTAAGGAGATTTTGTCAAGTAAGAGGAGGCTAACAGAGTATGAGACGGTTGCACTTACGCAGGAGTGTTGTTCTAGAATTTAGAATATGATGCCCACCATCTTGAAAGATCGAAGTTGCTTCGAAACATATATGTAACACACCTTTATTTGATAGAACTAGAATAAGAAAGAAACCATTTTTGGAAAGATCAAATTTGGAAAGTTTGGCAAGTTTTGCTAAAATTTTGGGTCAACTTCAAACAATTATAACTCTCAATATATGAGGATTTATGTGAGCTATAAGATATAAAATGAAAGGAGTTTGAATTATCTTTCCAATGCCACCAAGTTTTCTAATTTTCGAGTTCGTATGAGGGAAATATGCATGTTTGAAGTTGGTTTGTCTAGATGAGGAAAGTTCACATGATATTAAAGGGGTATTTTGGTCTTTTCTCAATCCAATCAAATAATCAGCATACTTCCAAATAATAAATGTAAATTTTAGTAAGTTTGATAGAAAAAAACGATGAATAAATATGAAATAAGTACAATTTATTAAGAAATCTACCTAAACAAAGTTAAATTTGAATTCATAATGAGATATTTTTATCAATGCATATAGAATTAAATGGTGAAGGACATTAACTCTTCGAAGAATGTTGTAACATTCAAATATTAGGGACTACAATAGTTTAACAAGAGAAATACTAGAAAATTCAAACTTCTTGAAGCTCCAACAAACGAAATGAATCTATTCTAAGTACAAAAATTATAAGGATTTGAGCAGAAAATAACATGAAAGAAAAAATTGAAATGTAGATCCGAAAATATATCTATTATATGCAATGAAATCTAAAAGGAAAGAAAAGAGGAAAGGAGCTAATTACCTCTTGCATAGAAGTAACTGGGATGACGACGTGCGATCCTTCTTCCCCCTTTGACCACAAACAAAGTCAGAAAATCTCTGAATTCATAGCTTGAACCTTCGAGGGTTCATTTCACGCAAGAGCACTGATCTTACACCTAAAATCCCCAAATTTTCCTCCTTCAATTAGTGTATAGCGGTGAATATTTTATATTTAATTTTTGGAAAAAGAATAGTTCTCGCAAGTGTGGGACTAAACATATTTCGAAAGAAAAATCTACGTGGACAACATATTAAGACCAAAATTACCATATACCTATTATCTTGTTAGATAGTTACTTATAATACTTGAGAAGTACAAAATATACTTGAATCTAATAAATAGATGTATATAATTAATTATTCATAGCTAACTCTACTTTTACACCTAATGGATACAAAAACGATGCATAAAATAATTTAAAAATCTTCCTTTTTCTTTTGAATTCCTCTGTATATTCTCAAAAATATCTTTCAAATGATTTTCATTTTTTTCCTTTCTTCACTATTTTTGTATTTTCATCTTTCTTTCTTAATTGTTCTCTTTCTTTTCTTCGTCTACTTTCACAAATGTATATGTTTACCATGTTATTGTTTGTATTAGTGTCCTTATTGATTTTTTTTACTTTTGTTGTATATAATATTGATAAGTTATATCAATCAATTTGTAATTTGGTAGTTATACCCCAAAAATAAGAGTTACCCAGGATTTTGCCTCGTTTGTCTTCATGTGGCGGTTTCAATCTATGGAAGAATAGAAAGGTTGGGAAAAGTTCAAATGAGGAAAGTGCAGCAAATAATATAAAACCACTTCTACCTTTCCACAAAAATTATTGAAACAGGGAGACAATGAATGCTTTGGTAAGCTTCTCTCTTTACTTACCCAAGTTTGCATTAAATTTTTGCTTGGTTATGTTTTGCAGGAAATACCATAGTATGCTCAATACGTTAATTAAGGAGATATTGGCAAGTAAGAGGAGGCTAACAAAGTATAAGACAGTTACACTTACCGAGGAGTGCAGTTCTAGAATTTAAAATATGATGCCCACCATACTTAAATATAAGAGTTGCTTCAAAACATATATGTAACACCCCTCTATTTTATAGAACTAGAATAAGAAAGAAACCACTTTTGGAAAGATCAAATTTGGAAAGTTTGGCAAGTTTTGTTAAATATAAGTTTTGGGTCAACTTCAAACAATCATAACTCTCAATACATGAGTATTTAGGTGACCTATTTATCTTTTCCAATGCCACCGAGTTTTCTAATTTTCGAGTTCGTATGAGGAAGATATGCATGTTTGAAGCTGCATTGTCTAGATGAGGAAAGTTCATCTGATTTTAAAGGGGTATTTGGTCTTTTCATAATCCAATTAATTAAATCTGTTTTTAGTAATTATTTTTTGGTATAAACTGATTTTGTTCAGTTTACGCTTCATAAAATTATGCTAGGGTTTTGAGAGTACAGAAAAGAGGAGAAGAAGCAAAGGATTCGTCACGTCCTTGAAGTGTAGCTAGTGGATTTTGCGAAAGGGTAAGACTCACAAGGTATGTGATATCACATACCACTAGGTTCATTCATCCATGCACCAATCATGATTTATCATAGCGTATTTACGTTCTTGAAAGTAGAGAAATTGGGTTCTTGATGAATTCTATTGAAGTTTATATTAGGTTTTTAATTGTTGAGTTCTTGAGAAGTTCTTGAGTTAGTTTCATGAGATTTGGAGTTATTTTTTAATAGATTCTTGTATTCTTGTGTTGGGTATTCCATTATAAGTGTTTGGAGAAGGAACTTATTGAATCTAGATGAATTAGGGTCATAAAACGAGTAAGAAAAATCATCAAATTTATTTGGGGGGGGGGGGGGGGGGGAAGGGTGGAGCATTGCACCACTCAAAGCACCCCTTATCAAATTCTAAAGTTTGGACACTGCTTAACTCAGATCACCCTAACGCAGCTTCTGCAGTTTGGTCTTTGGCGCCCGACGACACTCAGAGTCAGGGTCGCCATGCCTTTCCCACTTCTTTCCTTTAGAGTTTTCTTAAATCGTGCCAATGATTTCTACACACTAAGGTAAGTCTAAACATCATGATATATGTCACGCACCGAGCCTACACTCTGGACGTGCCGACACTCAATGACCATTGCTGACCTTTAGCGGATCCTTGGTCTGGCTCAATTAACTCAGGGGAAGACTTAACTCAGTACAAAAAAACATTCTTATAAATTAACTTGGAATAAATAACTTGACCAAAATGACTCTTAAGTCTCATAGCAAAATATCTGCAATATAAAGAAGAGACTCAAAATTAAATGTGTCCAAAAGTCATAACTCACTCATATGTGTAATTATTTCCAATTTGAAAGTGAAAAAACAATTTTTCATGTGAAAATATATGTTGCAACAATATAAAAGAATTGTGGCGCTATAATGTTACTCTTGAACAATATACTTTTAAGTAGAATATTGAATAATTTTGATTTATATTACTAAAATCTAAACAAAAGTAAGCATAATTACTCCATTCTTATAATATTACAACCAAAATTAATGTCCAAAAGCAAAATCGTCATCACACCAACCATTTGAATTTGAACATTGCAAAAAACTACCATCAATATAGATTGCTCATATTTACGAAAATTATTAGGCTTAATGTCACACAAATATAAATGGCACTCTCATTTTTATTTGAAAATGAAGTTGTAAATCTCATTCATACAAATCGTAGAAAAACTAAAAATGAAACAAGGGGGTGAAAATGAACAATATATGTATGTGTTCACAACAATATATTAGATAGACGATAAAGTAATACAATTAAAATCTTTCATACAAAGTAACAATTTTTTAGCAATCTTTATTTAAATTAATTTTGAATGTAGATAATTTACAATATGGATATCTAAGCATATTGGATAAACTATTCAAGTATTATCAAACTCATCATACACTAATAGATGTTTTGTCGACTAAGTAACACATACAAGAACAATAACACAATGACAAATAAAAATAAATTTCCACAACAATGCAAAATGATACAAGAATTAAATAAAAATATGGATTGCATACCAAATTTAATATGGACAACCATACCTGACTCCAAAATAAAAAGAAAACTTAGAACTATGACCTAATAAACAAAAGACCTCAAGGAACGGGTCATATCTTCTATACTTCTAAGTTCAACTATTTTACGGTAAGAAAACTTCTTTTTATCATGATTTCATCTCTTATACTTCTAACTTCAACTATCTATCCTAGGAAAGCTAACTTCTGAATGATCATTTGCTCTTCTCCGCTCCTCAGTTAGCTTCTTGACGATATGTTATATCATTATGTAGGAAGAAGACTAGAGAACAATATATTACAAAAAAAATTAGAATGATCTAGGGACAAGCAAATTTTGGTGATTTTTTATTGGAATTTATAGTGATATGTAACTGTCTTTTTATCTATCATAATTCAATAATGAGATATATTGACTCATGACACATAAATTTTATTTTTTATTTCAAAATTCAAAAAGTCATTGAATTGAAAGAGTTTCAATAATGAGACACATTGAATCATGACACATAAATTTTATTTTTTATTTCAAAATTCAAAGAGTCACTGAAAGAAAGTCAATAATAATATATCCAGAACAAGCATACACATGTAATGAAAAAGATGCAATAAAAGGGGGAAAGTTCAAGCTTAATGCTTGTGGCTCTTAAGTAATTGGTTGAACCAATAGGCAGACATTTTTGGATATCGCTCAAGTGTTGTGTAATCAACATAGACAATACCAAATCTAGATGTATAACCAGATCTCCATTCAAAGTTGTCTAGCAACGACCACGCGAAGTAGCCTATGACATTAGCTCCTTCATCGATAGCCTTCTTTAGTTCGGCCAAGTAACTTCTGTAGTAATCAATCCTTTTCGTGTCATGCAATGCCTCTGAAATGGATATATTCCCTGCATAATCCATACCTGAGATTCATGTATGGGTAAGTCCTCATAGCGATTTTGAAGTTGGTCCGAAAAATCAAAAAAGTTATAGAAGTTAACCATTCTCTGATAGAAGGATGGTAGGATTTCCATAGTGTTCTTTTACATAGTTGACAGCTTTGTAAAGACCCCAAGGCACAATGTAGAGCCAATAGGAGTGTGCCTATAGGCGTTAAAATTAGCTAAAGGTTAAGATGTAGTAGTAGTACTTTTTAGTTACAAAAGTACCAACTCCAATGTGCTTACCCTAGGACCGATTGGTACTCCATTGCGATCATCTACACCAGCAAAAATGAAATGAATCGGAATCAACAGAACTTCTTAATGTACAAAATCAGAGCATGTTTTTGCTTACCCTGTGTT